AAGGCATTGTGTTGAAAAAGATAATTTTGATATAAGGCAAAAAGGCATCAAAGGCATGCATCTCAATACGGTAGTGCAGATGGTATTGACAATATGTTATGAATAGAATTTCAAATGAGCTGTAAAGTGGATTAAGATGGCACCACAAGGTAAATACATCACTTACAATCAACAACCAGAACAAATGTCCTCACACATATATCAAGAGTACATTATTCAGAAACAGTGCAATGCCCGGGGTTGAATTCTATATCCATAAGCCTTTTTACAGTGCTTTCTAGATAATATCCACTAAAAAATCCCACCAAGTCATATTCAGCACCCTATTAAAGAATTGCATCCAAAAATATCTCCAATGCAACATCTATCAGTATAATACACACCAGGACACAGAATGTACAGTTTTTCAATACATGAATAGTTTAGGCAGATAAAAGTGATATATAATATATATCAGGAAGATAAATGTGCTATAGGTATCCATCACAAATTTGAATATCCCATCCCATTGTGCTTGAAGTCGTAAATGTTTTCTCCTGAAGTGACTCACTGTAGCAGTCAAACATTCAACATAATATTCCAAAAGTTCAACAGGCTATGTCATAATGTCATGAATAATTTAGCTGCTTTCCCCAAAGGGAGTCATTTCCTGGTTATTGCTATCTGTAGCTGTCTGCACAGTCTGCCTGCTGTGATATGCTAGACACCATTCTTCAAGTATTAAAAACATGAGCTGCATATCAACTATGAGTCTTTTTTTCAAACATGAAAAGTTTGCACAGATTGAAAGGATTTGCTATGCAAATGAAAGACAGCAAACATTTTCAAATTAATATTCAAGTCTTGAAACTGAGTTCTTGCCCAGTGGGGTATTTAGAGCAGCTAAATGCTTGACCTGAATACAGTAACTTCACCTGTGTCAAGTTATGAATTTTACATCACTGAAAAGGGCAATTAATGTGCAAAAATTTCTTTTGTAAAATCTACCCATCAGTCAATTTTGCAAGAATTTCACTGACATGTTTGAATTTTGATGAAAATTTGCTGTGCCACAGTACTGACAAGCTGACATATTTTTTTCTCTCCTTGGAATGGCATCATAATAATTTCAGCAAATTATTGTGTAATTGTTCACATTTTAGGCTTAATCCTGAAATGAACAGAATCCAAGCTTGCTATAAAGTGATTGAAAACTTGTTCATGAATGCACAAGTTCAAGTTCAGTAATCTGCAAATTCCCTGGTCGGGACATCGCGCAGATGGGGAGAGGCGCAGCGTCTGGACTACGGTCGGAATGACAGCCTGCTCTTGAAGGAGTCCAGTGAGGGGCTGTCCACTATGTATGCCGAAAGGCTGTTCCACTCAGGGATGGTTCTGGTTTAGTATGCATATTTTGCAGTGAAAATTGTTACAAAATCTCTGTAACCTCAAAAAAGAAACATAAAGAAATTGCACCAACTCAAACCACTTGCTGTGCTTTAATTGAATTGATACATGAGAGGGGCTGACCCATAGAAGACATAATGAGGGACGCCTGAATGATTTGTTACAGCATTACCAAAGGGGTGCCGGCCGATATTGCAGGGGAAAAGCTTTCAGGTCATAGAGAATTCTGGGGAGGAGCCAAAAGGTGATTTCCCCTAGGAGCGATGACAGGAAAGAATTTTACCACCAAAGTCTGAAATGGGTTGGAACTTTCTCTGTGGCATTTTTTAAATATTTGCAAAATGTCATGAAATCCAGTGCAGAAGGAAAATTTAATCAAGAGAATATTGGCACCGACATTCTATCTTATCAGCTTGGGTGCGCTGTACAATTTTCTTCCTCAGAGATCTAGAACAATACTTCAAGGAATCTATTCTAAGGAGCAGGTAATAATGTACACACAGGCACTCCTCTGGGTTCTGTCCCTAATTGGGGTTTTCACGCATCTTACCCCCAGCTACTTTGAAACACTTTTAGAACTCAATATATCAGAATGTTCCAGATTAAAGGACAGAATCGGGTCAGTGCACTCTCGGGTTGATTCTGACCAATTTATTAGCTGCTCTGCAAATCCTTTTGAAGGTACAGCCCTGTATTGATGAGTCAGTTAATCTTCACTGTGGGGCTCCAACGGGCCTCCAGTACTGGGACACTGATCTTGAATACATGATCAGGGCTCAAAATACTTAGTGCAGGTTAAATGTTTTAAGAGGAAGTTGAGGAAAAAATTGCTTGATTCAGTTTCTACAAATTTTTTTAACATTTAAGCAATCATAGGTAGACCCTGCTTGATCTTTCCAGATACAATGTATATTAACTGTGTTGTTTGTATGGGGGAGGGCAACCTGTAAAGGTAGTATCTGTTTGGCCCTCCCTTTCACTTTCTGTAAAATCCCAATAAACAATGTAGCTTTCATTTGGTAGACGATTGGGTCCATTAAACAATGTATCAAGTTGTTGCAGGCAGCAGTTGGTGACATGCAAGGCTACCCCAGACATGCACTTGAACTCTGCGGGGTGACGGGAGGGAATTAGCTGGGAAGTAATATGTTTGTCTTTCCAGTCTGCTGCTGAGCTAATGGTCCTGTGTAAATTCTGCTGCCACTGGTTTTAATGCATGTGTCGCATCAGCCTTCCATATGACAGGACGGAAATCAATGCGCTGCGTCTGATGCAGACTCGTGGGTGTAAATTGTGAGCTAGCTTGGCTGCGCTGAAATTGGCCATCAAGTGGCTGTATACATTTAGTGCATGTCAAAAGATGCAGTTTTCGTGCTGTGTAGAAAGCTCCATTAAAAGAGATGAGCTAGCTCCCCAAAGTGATTCCCAAAACTCACACATGGCCACACATTATGTTGTTGGAGAAATGGTTTTCTGAGCAATGAGATGACATGGAAATTGGGCAAACAAAATTGTCCCAGCCACTCCCACTATCAATTTCTGGTCAAAAGAGAAAGACCCCAGAGGTTTCATTTACATGTATGTAACCTGTAGCCCTTAATGAGTGCCTCCATCACCTGATCATACAGCGGCTGAACACTGATGAAAGTTGAAGGAGACATTTCACCTTCCAAGGAAAAATGAGAAACATCATTCATTTCAAGCACATTCAGATGTGTTGCCATTGGAGCTTGAGGCAGAAGTATAGGCAAAAAGCCTTGAAGTTCACAATGTAGGAAATAAAGGAATAAAATCATATTTTATTTGAATGAATTTCAAAGCTGTTCTGTGTTGGCAGAATCCATACTAACTATATTATAAATGCCTTGTCAACAGAAACATTCATCTGGATGCTACTTTTCGGTTGATCTTGGTGACCTTCGTGAAAAATGTCCATGAAAATCCTATTTTGCTAAATCCAAGGTATCTGTATTGACAGTGACACAGGAATCTTTGATTGCACCTTTCCCACTTCATACATTGACTTGTTTTCCTTTTATCTGAAAAATCCTGCAGACTCATGTTCTATATACATGTAAGGAATACAGCTTTACCAGGACTTTGCAACACAATACAATAAAAGCACAATCTATTTTTAGAACTATCAAACTGTCATGCAGTGTATTGGCTTGATGGACATGCCAATGGTTCAGGTGACATACATAATGTAATTTTATATCTGAGCACTTAATCCACTTTGTCAGCAGCATGCTGATGACTTGGGGGGATGTGATGCATGAGTGGCAATCTGACGATTACGAAGATGCCAGACTGAGTGTTGCATCCATTCCCTTTAGAATCAGAGGGACAAACAATCAGGACAAGAAGGCTTCATCAATCCATCCGTCTACACCTCACCTGGGATTTTCCCTTTCCCAACATGGCTTGAGTTTCACTGTAATTTGTCAGCATACAAAAATCTATAATTACGTAGTTTTCACCATTTGTAATAAACAACTGCAGGAGCATTTTATTGTTTTGGTCAATAGCTTATCGTTAGTGGGGTGATATAAGAGGTGACATTAGACAGAACTTTGCCTGAAATTTCCTATTCCAATCAATAAATTTATAATTATTATCATAATTCTAGTATACTTCTAAAACAAAGGGTGATCAATGTTATTAGAAATATAAGTTAGAACATTTAGGTCAAGTGACATGCATAGTCCAGGTATAAACCATTAGGAGCTGATTGCAAACCCTGTTTGCCTATGTCTTTCAGGAGTATGTCCTTGTAAGACAAAATTAAATTCACTCTCCTGGGACTAGAAGTTGTGTTTCAGGTCATCACATCCAATTTTGGTCCCTATCCAATCTATCCATTGTACACTTTTGGGTCATTAAGGCAGCCTCTCTCATCCCCTCTTATTGTTTTCCTAGCATCCAGCATTACTCCATAGGATTGGTTAATATAATATATTTATCATAAGAGCCACATAATTTGATGAAAACTGCAGCTAAAGCAATATTTTCAGGATATCAGCTCTTAATTTACGACTGGCAAAAGTCACATAAAGCAGGTCATAATGAACAGTAATGGAACAGGGCTTACAGTTTATTGTGTCACGTTTCTGTACAGGGTCAGTTGTGGACATTATTCATTACATTATCTATTGATAATCTATAGTGGCGCCAAATGCACCACCTGCTTTCACAGGATGGGAGGGGCACCTGGTATTATGCAGGGAAGTGGGGAACATTAGTTTTACATCCGGACTGTCCAATAACTAAAACCTTGCTGTATATACCTGCCAGGTACCACAGTGATACATGTAGCTGTTGCTTCATCATATTGAAAATCGCTTTGCAAAATGTTTTGATATAAAGAATTTTAGCCAGGTAAACAGTAGCCTGTCTTTAAATGTACAAATTTGCAAATCTCAGTCAATTCATTGAGCAAAAAAATTATTCATTTCATTGAGTACAAATGTTCAAATGAGGCTATATCTGCAGATATATTTAGGTATCTAGCAATGCATTTTTCATCTTGTACACCAATAAGACATTGTTCTTTGAGAAATGTTTTCAAGACTGTGTGAACTGTGTCTGACATCTTTTCCTTCTGATTTTGACAGGCCAGCAAACCCTACAACACAGCAGTGACAACATGGAGGCGGTCCTGCTGCTCAACCCCATCTTGGACACAGTCAAGTCCGAGGTGAAGAACATGCTGACCCACCAGGACAGGCACAAGCACCTGGTCTTTGGAGGCAAAGCAGCGGAGAACAGTGGAGACTGGGTCCTGCAAGATGGGGCCTTCTCCTTCCTGGACCTGATCGACCTGTGCAAGGATCCCGATGTCTCCACTGCGCTCACATCCATGGGCAGTCGACCCTGCCTAACTGTAAGCTGTGCATCCGAGGGAGATTTCAAAGGAATGTCGTGTGCAACAAAGTCGTTAGAGCAACAGATAGAGATTCAACTGAACCCCAAACAGGATGATTGCGACATCGAGAGCACAGAAGACTTTGGTTGTTACCTGATTGACACAACTAATCTGGAGACACCTTTCAATCTGCTGGAGCCTGCAAAGGCAAGTGGATTCCTCAAGATCAGTAAGCCATCGCTGTATGTATTCCCTGCTGGGAAGGGAGACGCTGCTTTCTTTGCTGTAAATGGCTTCAACATCCTGGTGAACGGTGGCTCATCCCGGAAGGCTTGCTTCTGGAAGCTTGTTCGGCACTTGGACAGAATAGATGCTGTCATGATGACACACGCTGGAACTGACAGTCTGCCTGGCATGAACAGCTTCTTGCAGAGGAAAGTGGCTGAAAGAGACCTTGGGGAACCCAGCCCTGGCACAGATGAATACAATGACTGGTTCAGTAAAGTAAAGTCTCCCGAGCTGGGAGTCTTTTACTTCAATGCCCCTGACAAGACAAAAGCTAACAATGGCGACTCCATGGTTCTAACCAGCAGGGACCTTGGCTGTGACACCCTGGAGAACCTAAAGCTACTGGACATAAAACCCTACCATTGCATGAGAACGGACTCTAAATCAGAGCCACTGACACTCTTCAACAAAGTGGGTGTTGGCAAATTAGACATGTACATACTCAATCCATTAAAAGACAGTAAAGAGGTCAAGGAGATGCTACACCAGTGGAGCAACAATGCAAAGAAATTTAGCTCTGCAAAAATTGGTGTAAAAGTTTCTGGTAAAGATGTTGACATTCCTATTCCTGACCTGACATCTATAGCTGCTCTACTAGTGTGGCATCCTGCAAACCCTACAGAGAAGATTGTTAGGGTTCTCTTCCCTGGCAATACTCCACAGAATAAAATATTTGAAGGACTTGACAGATTAAAACATTTGGATTTCCTCAAACATCCACATGCCTCCCAAAAGATCCTAACTGATCAAACCAAACCTAAGAAGAGGAAAGTATCAGAGAAAAAAGTTCAAGAGAAAAGGGAAAAGACAGAAAAAAAGTCTGAGAAAAAGGTAACCGAGAAAGTTGAAGAAAAGCCAACACTGAAAGCAAAGCCCAAGCCTGCTGCTCCTAAGAAGAAATCAAAACCCAAAGAGAAAAAGAAGACCACAAAGAAAGATGTTGGCGCTGCTATAGTAGCAACTGGTGCCATTGCTGCAGCCACAGGAGCTACAGTTGTTGCTATGGCAGCTGATGAAGCTGCAGCTGCTCCACCAGAGCCAACCCCACCTAAACAAGAGCCAGCTTTTACTCCTCCAGAGGACCTTACTGCAGAGTTTGAAAAACAGCGAACAGAAGAGGCAGCTGAGGTGGAAGTTGCAGAAGAGGCAAAAGAAGAGATGGAAGCTCAGATCCCTGCAGAGGAGGAAGAGCCACCTACTACAGAAGAAGAAAAGGAAAAAGGTGCAGAAGAACTGGAAGGTAAGCCATCTCCCGATGAAGAGCCTGTACAACAAATTGAAAAAGAAGACAACATCCCATCTGAAATTATCGAAGAAGCTGTTGAGAAGGAGGAAGAGCAGATTGTCCAAGATGAGGAGGAAGTGCAGGAAAAAGAAGAAGAGCAAGAAGATCATCGAGAATTTGAGGAGGCCGAAACTGCTACTAACACAACCACAACAGAAGGTCCTGATGAACCTGATGAAGATGAGGACGAGGAGGAAGAGGTGGAAGAGGAGGAGGATGAGGGTGTAACTCCAACTGCTCTTGTGCTTCCCACCAGCATTGAGGCTAAGGCAGAGGCTGAAGAGGAATCAGATCAAGAGATGGAGGAACAGTCTTCTCCAGGAGATGAAAGAGATGGGGAGGGTGATGAGGCAGACATTGAGACCTCTCCTGAAATCAGTGATGTGATGCAAAAGGGGGAGCCTGATGAAGAGAAGGGAACTCCTGAAGATTCAGGCCTGCCTGAGGAAGGACGTCGGCCAGAATCAACTGAGTTGACATCAGGGGAAGAGGCTGAAGGAAAAGAAGTCTCTGAGGATGAAGCCCTTGGTGCTCAAGCAGATGATGAACAGAATGGAGAAGTAGGATCCCCAGATGAGGAAGCAAACTATGAAATTGTTGATGCTGCAGAGCCACTGGCCTCATCACCAGCAGAGGAAGAGGTTAAGTCACCTGAAGATAAGAAGTCCTCTTCTCCTCTCTCATCCCCGGAAATCATAACTATGGAAACAGCAGATGCTGCATTTGCGCCAATTGCACTTGACGTTGCAGATGAATTGGAAGGAATTCCCTTCAGCATCCCATCTGGAGATCATACAGAACAAGACCAAGAAAAAGAGGACAAAGAAGAAGAGGAAGAAGAGGATGAGACAACTCCAGTTTCTGAGGACAGAACTCCAGTGGCAGAGGACAAAACACCTGTAACACCTGAGGAGAAGACACCTGTCACGGAGGAGGCAGTTTCACCGGCAATTGAAAAAGCTGAATCACCTGAGGAAGAACATAAAGAGGAACTTGAATCCCCTAAATTAAAGCCTGATGACATTGACATCTCCCCAATTGAACAGGTGCAGGACTTTGAACCTATCAAGTCAGCACCGCCCACAACAAAGACCTATGAACCTGATACATCAGATGCTGATGCACAGTACCTTGCCAAATGGGAAACACTGAATGATGTTAGCCCATCTGCTGCTCCAGAATATGCCGCGCCAGTTGCTATTGAAATTGAAGATGGAGAAGATAGTGAGGGTGAGGAAAAAGAAACTCCAACCACTGACAAAATAAAATTGCTGGAAGATCTTGAGGAAGAAGATGAATCAGAGCTGGCAGAGATAGCAAAGTCTCCAGTACCTACTGAGGTAACAGAAGAACCAACAAAGAGAGAAGATATTACTGAGGTTACCATGACAGTGGAAGTTTCAGTACAGGAAAAACACGAAACAGAAGAGGTTGTTGAGAAGGTGGAGGAGGGAGCAGCAGAAGAAGATGAAGCAGAGGTCAAGTTAAAAACAGCAGCGGAAGTAATAACAGCTCTTGTTGATACAGAAAAGCAACTAGAACCTTCATCGGAAGAACCTGAACCTGAAACAGCAGTTGGCTTCCAAACAGCAGCAGAAGTTACATTTGCTTTAATCGATGCAGAGAAAGAACAGAGCCCTGCCGCAGATGTGGAATTCAAGACCGCAGCTGAAGTCTCAGCCGTCCTTGTTGAATCTCAGAATGTGCAAGAGCAGGAGGCAGAGATGGATCTTAAGACTGCTGGTGAAGTGGTTACGTCTCTTGTTGGAGCTAAAATGGATGAGGAACCTGAGGTTGATGTTGAATTGAAGACAGCTGCTGAAGTGATGACGACTTTTACAGAGATGCGACAACAAGAGGAGGAAATGGAAACAAAGGTAGATATCAAACCTGTTGCTGATGTTGCGATAGCCCTTATAGATGTAGAAAAACAACAGGAACAAGATGCATCCACAGAACCATCTGAAACTATGTTAGACCTAAAGCCTGCCGCTGAGGTGGTTACAAGTCTCATTGAGGCAGAAAAGCAGTTCAAGCCGGAGCCAGAGGTTGACTTGAAAACTGCAGCTGAGGTAGCGACAGCTGTGATAGACACACAGAGGGATGTTGAGTTAGAAACCAAAGTGGAACTGCAAACTGCTGCTGAAGTTATCACATCACTGGTTGATATTCAGCCGACAGACGAGGGAGCTGAAGAAGAAGAAGCTGAGGAGGAGGAGCAAGAGGCTGGTGATCAGGTCAAACTTGAGACTGCTGCCAATGTTATAACTGCCCTGGAAGACATAAAGAAGGAATATCCTAAAGAATTTGACGTGGACTTTAAGACTGCTGCTGAAGTTGTTACAGCCCTGGAAGATGCAAAAACTGAGGAGCCAACAGAAACTGAGGTAGAATTCAAGACTGCTGCAGACGTTGTTACAGCTCTTGAAGGTGTAAAAACTGAAGGCCCAATAGAAACTGAGGTAGAGCTGAAGACAGCTGCAGAGGTTATTACAGCTCTTGAGGCTGCAAAAACCGAAGAGCCAGCAGAAACTGAGGCAGAAGAGCCATCAGAAACAGAGATAGAGTTGAAGACAGCTGCAGAAGTTGTTACAGCTCTTGAAAGTGTAAAAACTGAGGAGCCAGCTGAAGCAGAACAGCCAGCAGAAACTGGAATGGAACTGAAGACAGCTGCAGAGGTTGTTACAGCTCTTGAAAGTGTAAAAACTGAAGAGCCAGAAGAAACAGAGGTTGAGTTGAAGACTGCCGCAGAGGTTGTTACAGCTCTTCAAAGTGTAAGAACAGAACCTGAAGCAGAACAGCCAGAAGAAACTGAGGTGCAACTCAAGACGGCTGCAGAGGTTGTCACAGCCCTTGAAAATATAAAAACTGAAGAGCCAGCAGAAACTGAGGTAGAATTCAAGGCTGCCACAGAAGTTGTCACAGCTCTTGAAAGTGTGAAAACTGAAGAGCCAACAGAACCTGAAGTAGAACAGCCAGAAGAAATCGAGGTGGACCTGAAAACAGCTGCAGAGGTTGCCACAGCTCTTGAAGCTGTGAAAACTGAAGAGCCAGCAGAAACTGAAGCAGAAGAGCCAACTGGGGTAGAACTCAGGACAGCTGCAGAGGTTGTTACAGCTCTTGAAAGAGCAAAAACTGAAGAAGCAACAGAAATTGAAGAACAGCCAGAAGAAACCGAGGTGGAACTGAAAACAGCTGCAGAGGTTGTCACAGCTCTTGAAGCTGTGAAAACTGAAGAGCCAGCAGAAACTGAAGCAGAAGAGCCAACTGGGGTAGAACTCAGGACAGCTGCAGAGGTTGTTACAGCTCTTGAAAGTGCAAAAACTGAAAAAGCAACAGAAATTGAAGAAGAACAGCCAGAAGAAACCGAGGTGGAACTGAAAACAGCTGCAGAGGTTGTCACAGCCCTTGAAAGTGTAAAAACTGAGGAGCCAACAGAAACAGAGGTGGAATTTGAGACTGCTGCTGCAGTTATAACTGCACTTGTAGAGGTTGAGCAACTGGCAGAAATTGAGGTTGAGGCTTCCCATGTGGACCAACAAGAGGAGGTGTCATTGGTCACCACAGAAGAGGTGGAGGCAGTGTCTCGAGAACAGCCAATGCCAATGGAAATAGAAAATGAAGAATCTCCAGAACCTATGGATACTGAGGAGGAAAGTCCTGAGCCCATGGAAACTGAAGCAGGAGAGACAGAAGAAGATACACAGGCAGCTGAAGAATTTACCCCACCAGTAGAGATTGCAGAAGTAGAAGTAGTCGCTGCAGATGACATGCAAGCTCCAGTCTCCATGGAAGCACCTGAACCTCCACAGAGTGTGAGTGCATTAGAAAAGCAGCTTCCTGGTGTCAAGGGAGAAAAACCGCCACAAAAATCACCAACTAGCGAGCAAACCACAACAACAACAACAACAAAGATAGATGCCGGAGTTGCTGCATCAGCTATCGTGGGGGACGCAGTCTGGGCTGCCACCCAGGAGATAATGCTTGAACAAGCAGAAGAGGCAAAGTCAGCACCACCTTCAGACTATCTAGAACAGTATGAACTAAGCAAGTCCCCAGCTACACCAGAGACAGAAGAGTTTGATGATCAAAAGCAGGATGCATCTACTGACGAGGAAGAACTCGAGGAGGTAGGCTATTATTGGTTTTTTGGTTGTTATAATGCTGACTTCATTATGTCAGCTACATTTTAAATTTTAGTATGTTTTCAATAGACTTATCTTTATATGACAATTTTGATCTAAAAGTTTCCTATTTATGGGTTGTTCATTTGTCCTGTTGTAGGACATTAAGGGTCTACCTGTTTCAAAATTAGTGGAAATAATGGGTGCTGTTGCTTGTATCTTCAATAAAGCCATTACAATAAAATGTTTAGCTGGTTTTCCAATCATTGCACTTACTGGATGGATTACTTCAACTAACATGGCAGATGAATCACTATGCAGGAAATGCATAATTATTCTTCTCAAAAGTTTTTGTTTACATTTGTAATACATCTGAAATCACTCAATGTCTTGAAGACACCTCAGTTCAAATGTGATGACATCAAAGGTTTACTTGATTGTGCCATGGGGGAATTCATCCAATATCATTGCATTACATTTTTGTTACCATAATGCACATTCTTATACACATAACTTTTGTTGTACATTATGCTATACTTCCATTCAGTTCATCTCGTGCACCATCCTCTTTAATGCAACTACACCTCTCTGTTTTCTCTTATAACATTTCTTTGCGTGTGTGATTGTATCTCTCTCCTGTATGTAATGTTCTTTCTCTCTGTATGTTTGTCCTACCTGTATGTCCTTTCCTGTGGCATCTTGTACAAATGGACACAGCCAAACGCTGCCATGGTTGCCTTTGAGTCAGCAAGTGTTGAAGCAGCTAAACAAGAAACAATAGAATTGGAAGCAGCTACAGCTGACGTTAAGGCAGAAGCGGAACCAACTGAAAAGACTGAAGTTGAAGCTGAAAAGGAATCGATTGAAGAGGCTGAAATGGAAGCTAAAGAGGAACCAACTGAACAGTCAGAAGTTGAAGCTAAATTGGGACCAACTGAAGAGCTCGAAGTTGAAACTAAAGAAGCACCAACTGAAGAAGCTAACGTTGAAGCTATAGAGAAACCAACTGAAAAGCCAAAAGTTGAAGTAACTGAACAGCTGGAAGTTGACGTTAAAGTAGAGCCAACTAAAGAGCCAGACGTTGAAACCGAGGAACCACCTGAACAGCTGGAAGAAGCCAAAGTAGAGACAACTAAAGAGCCAGAAGTTGAAGCTAAAGAGGAACCAATTGAAGAGCCTGAAGATGAAGCCAGAGACAAAACAACTGAAGAGCCAGAAGTTGAAACTAAAGAGGCACCAACTGAAAAGCCTGAGGTTGAAGCTAAAGAGGAACCAAGTGAAGAAGCTGAAGAGGAATCAACCGACAAGTCTGAAGTTAAAGAGGAACAAACTGAAGATCAAGAGGTTGGAGCTAAAAAGGAAATAAGCAAAGAGCAAGAGGTTCAAGCTAAAGAGGAACCAACGGAAGGGCCAGAGGTTGCAGTTAAAGAAGATCCAACCAAACAGTCTGAGGCTGAAACTAAAGAGGAACCAACTGAAGAGCCAGAAGTTGAAGCTAAAGAGGAACCAACTGAGCAGCCAGAAGTTGAAGCTAAAGAGGAACCAACTGAGGAGCCAGAAGTTGAAGCTAAAGAGGAACAAACTGAGGAGCCAGAAGTTGAAGCTAAAGAGGAACCAACTGAAGAGCCAGAAGTTGAAGCTAAAGAGGAACCAACTGAGGAGCCAGAAGTTGAAGCCAGAGAGGAACCAACTGAGGAGCCAGAAGTTGAAGCTAAAGAGGAACCAACTGAGGAGCCAGAAGTTGAAGCTAAAGAGGAACAAACTGAGGAGCCAGAAGTTGAAGCTAAAGAGGAACCAACTGAGGAGCCAGAAGTTGAAGCTAAAGAGGAACAACAAACTGAGGAGCCAGAAGTTGAAGCTAAAGAGGAACCAACTGAGGAGCCAGAAGTTGAAGCTAAAGAGGAACCAACTGAAGAGCCAGAGGTTGCAGTTAAAGAAGATCCAACCAAACAGTCTGAGGATGAAACTATAGAGCAACCAACCAAAGAGTCTGAAGTTGACGCTAAAGAGAAACCAACTGAAAAGCCAGAAGTTGAAGTTGAAGAGGAAGTAACTGAACAGCTGGAAGTTGATGTTAAAGTAGAGCCAACTAAAGAGCCAGACGTTGAAACTGAAGAACCACCTGAACAGCTGGAAGAAGCCAATGTAGAGCCAACTAAAGAGCCAGAAGTTGAAACTGAAGAACCACCTGAACAGCGGGAAGAAGCCAAAGTAGAGCCAACTAAAGAGCCAGACGTTGAAACTGAGGAACCACCTGAACAGCTGGAAGAAGCCAAAGTAGAGCCAACTAAAGAGCCAGACGTTGAAACTGAGGAACCACCTGAACAGCTGGAAGAAGCCAAAGTAGAGCCAACTAAAGAGCCAGAAGTTGAAACTAAAGAGGAACCAACAGAAGGGCCAGAAGTTGAAGCCAGAGAAGAAACAACTGAGGAGCCAGAAGTTGAAGCTAAAGAGGAACCAACAGAAGGACCTGAAGTTGAAGCCAGAGAGGAACCAACTGAGGAGCCAGAAGTTGAAGCTAAAGAGGAACCAACTGAGGAGCCAGAAGTTGAAGCTAAAGAGGAATCAACTGAGGAGCCAGAAGTTGAAGCTACAGAGGAATCAACTGAGAAGCCAGAAGTTGAAGCTAAAGAGGAATCAACTGAGGAGCCAGAAGTTGAAGCTAAAGAGGAACCAACTGAAGAGCCTGATGCTGAAGCTGGAGAGGAAACAGCTAAAGATCAGCTTACTGAAAAGAATGATGAATCTAAGCAGGAACGAATTGAAGAGCCAGAAGTTGGAGCGAAGATAAAATCACCTCTGGAGTCAAAAGTTGAACATAGAGTAAAACCAGCTGAAGAGCCAGCAATCTCACCTGAATCAGAACAAGCTGTAGAATCAGAAGACATTGAACCAAGGGAGAAACAAGTTGCAGAGCTAGAAGTTGAAGTAAAAAAGGGACAGAAAGACGACTCAACAACCAAACCCAAAGATGACTCACCTGCAAAGCTTGTGCACGAGCCAAAAGTTGAGCCAACAAATAAACTACCCAAAGTGCCAAGAGTTGAAACAAAGGATGAGCCAGCTGAAGAGCCAAATGTCAAAGACAATTTAGAACCAGCTGCAGAGCCAGATGTTACACCCACGAAAGAATCATCTGAGGAGCCAGATGTTATACCTAAAGAAGAGGCAGCTGAGGAGCCAGATTTTACACCCGAGGATGAAGCATCTGAAGAGCCCAAAGTCGAGGAGAAGGAAGAACCAGGTAGAGGTGTTACACCCATGAACAAACCAGCTGGAAGGCCAGATGTTACACCAAAGGAAGAAGCAGCTGAAGAACCAGGTGTTAAACCCAAGGAAGAACCAGTTGAGGAGCCACATGTTACACCTGAGGACGAACCAGCTACAGAGCCAGATGTTACACCTAAGGACGAACCAGCTACAGAGCCAGATGTTACACATAAGGAAGAACCAGCTGCAGAGCCAGATGTTACACATAAGGAAGAACCAACTGAAGAGCCAGATGTTACAATCACAAAAGAATCAACTGAAGAGCCAGAAGTTACACATAAGGAAGAACCAGCTGAAGAGCCAGATGTTACACCTAAGGAAGAACCAACTGCAAAGCCAGATCATACACATAAGGAAGAGCCATCTGAAGAGCCAGATGTTGCACCTAAGGAAGAACCAGCTGCAGAGCCAGATGTTACACCTAAGGAAGAGGCAGCTGAGGAGCCAGATGTTACACCCACAAAAGAATCAGCTGAAGAGCCAGATGTTACAGCTAAGGAAGAGGCAGCTGAAGAGCCAGATGTTACACCCACAGAAGAACCAGCTGAAGAGCCAGATGTTACACCCACAAAAGAATCAGCTGAAGAGCCAGATGTTACAGCTAAGGAAGAGGCAGCTGAAGAGCCGGATGTTACACCTACAGAAGGACCAGCTGAAGAGCCAGATGTTACACACAAGGAAGAACCAGCTGAAGAGCCTGATGTTACACCTAAGGAAGAACCAGCTACAGAGGCAGATGTTACACCCGAGAATGAAGCAGCTGAAGAGACAGATGCTAAACCTAAGGAAGAACCAGCCACAGAGCCAGATGTTACAACTAAGGAAGAAGCAGCTGAAGAGCCAGATGTTACACCTAAGGAAGACCCAGCTGAAGAGCCAGATGCTAAACCTAAGGAAGAGGCAGCTGAAGAGCCAGATGTTACACCTGAGAATGAAGCAGCTGAAGAGCCAGATGTTACACCTAAGGAAGAACCAGCTGCAGAGTCAGATGTTACACCTAAAGAAGAACCAGCTGAGGAACCAGACGTTACACCTAAGGAAGAACCAGCTGAAGAGCCAGATGTTACACCTAAGGACAAACCAGCTACAGAGACAGATGTTACACCCACAAAAGAATCAGCTGAAGAGCCAGATGTTACACCTAAAGAAGAACCAGCTGAGGAACCTGACGTTAAACCTAAGGAAGAACCAGCTGAAGAGTCAGATGTTACACCTAAGGAAGATTCAGCTGAGGAACCAGATGTTACACCTAAGGAAGAACCAGCTGCAGAGACAGATGTTACACCCACAAAAGAATCAGCTGAAGAGCCAGATGTTACACCCACAAAAGAATCAGCTGAAGAGACAGCTATTACACCCACAAAAGAATCAGCTGAAGAGCCTGAATTTACACCTGAGGAAGAACCAGCTGCAGAGCCAGATGTTACACCTAAGGAAGAACCAGATGCAGAGCCAGATGTTACACATAAGGAAGAGGCAGCTGAAGAGCCAGATGTTACACCTAAGGAAGAACCAGCTGAAGAGCCAGATGTTAAATTCAAGGAACCAGCAGGGCCAGAAATGGAGGTGAAGGAAGAACCAACTGAAAAGCCACATGTTACATTAAAAGATGAAACAATTGAAGAGAAACCAACCGAAGGGCAAAAGGATACATCTGAAAAGCAACCAAGTGAAGAGTTGGAAACTGAATCCAGAGAGGGTCCTTCTAAGTCAGAGAAAGTCAAACAAGATGTTGAAGCAAAAGAACCAGAGGAAGCACCTACTGAAGAGCCAAAAGCTGAAGTAAGTCAGAAAACTAACGCACTGGAAGTGGCAGTAATATACAGATCTAAACCAAATGAAGACGAACCTTCTGAAGAATCAAAATCAGAAGTGAAGGAAGAAACTGAACAACCAGAGGTTGAAACATATGAAGAACAGGCTGAGGAACCACAGGGTGAGTCAAAAGAGTGTCCAGTTCAAGAATCAGAAAGTGCATCAAGGGATGAACTGACTGATCAGTCAGAAGGTAAAACAAAGAAAGAATTGGTCAAACAGTCAGGGGAAATTAAGGATGAACAAGATAAAGAAACAGAAGTTGAAACAAGGGAAGAAGCAACTGAACAGCCAGAGGTTGAAGCAAAGGAAGATCCAACTCAACAGATAGAAATTGAAGTAAAGGATGATCCAAAGGAGGAACAACTCTCACAGCCAAAAGATGAAACAAAGGAAGAAGTTGTAGCAAAACAGCAACCAACTATAGAATCAGAATTTGAAGCAAAAGCTGAAAAACTGGAGGTCCAATCAAAGGAAGAACAAACTGGAATGCAACAAATAGAGATGTCCTTACAAGCTGTGGGGTTAAAACACCATTCTCTTCAACATGATGAATCTCTAAGTGACCCTTGTGAACCAGATTCTACAGAAGACAGATCACCAGATGTGCCTGTTACAGCCAAAGAAGAAAAAGTGGAACCTAAAGAGCAGGAAAGCCCTATGGACGGCCTTGATTCTGATAGCCTAGAAAAAGAAACTCCAACTGAAGATGCTCAGATTTCAAAGGAATATGTTATAAATGGTGCTATAGCAGGAGAATCAGCCACTGAAAAGATTAACATTCCAGTAGAAGATGCCAAAAGCTGCTCTGAAATGGAGACAGAAATGCCTCCAGTAAGGCGGAAAGATACAATATTGGACTCCGATGAAGGCAAGGAATATTCAAAACCTGCACAAGACACTGAGATGACAAGTCCTTTGTTAGAGCCCTACACAACTCCTCCAGAAGATACCCCATCCAGAGAAACTTCATTTGAAACATCTGAGGACGACATTGACAGTGTAGAACAAACTGCTATGGAAGAGGCAACATCAACAGAACGACCAACTAAAATGAAGCGGAACAATTTTTTAGGGGTGGTCGCAGAGGGTGCACTCTTAGCTAGTCAACTTGGGGACAATGACCAAGAGGAAGAAGTGGAGAGTGAGCCTTCTGCAGGTGTTCTCTTAGATGACAAAGGAAGCCCATCCATGCCTGAACCACAGGTAACACCAACATCTGAAAGAGTGGAAAGCATCTCCTCAAAAACAGACCCAGAGAAAGTTCATTCTGTCGAGCAGCCTAGCACAACAACTAAGCATGCTGAAACATTGGAGGTCTCTGATAGTAAACAGACAAAATGCATGTATCTTGCATCCAAGACATTCGTGACTGTTACAACAACTACCATAGTACGTAAGATGGGACCAGATGGTAGTGTCATCAGCCAAGAGGTGCAGCAAGTCAAGCATGAGAGCATGGAAGTGCCAATCAGTGCTAAGCCCAGCAGCTCTGTCTCACAAGTTGTAACAAAGGTAGACTATAATCCTTCAACAGCCTGGTGATAAGGCAGCTAGAGGAATGACGGCTTCAAATAACGGCTTAGAAATGGCTGCTAACGGACATTTGCTTCTGACCTGCTTCTGCCTTTACTGCCTGATGCCTATGCTGCTTCTGCTTTCTGAATATCAATGCTAGCTTTCAAATATTGGAAGATTCAGACAACTCTATTATGCATCCAAGCAACACCAATTTTCTTCCATTGATGCTGTGGCCAGTTTCAGCAGTCATCATGTTCACTCCATTCTTCATGACCATATAGGGCACACCGTCAGCCTTGTGCTTGGAACCTGACTTGGATGCTGATCAGTTGAACTCGTCCATCTTTGTACATTTTCTGTTACCCTTTCTGACCAGCCTTGAATTTTCTTTCTTTTTCAAGGAGGAACCTTACACTTCCTATGCTTTATCTGCTAGTAACATTTGCCTTCCCTTTGATGGTTGTGGTTGTTTTCACTGGGCAATACTGGTGCCTTGACTTAGGAATGGATTGTGAAATCAATTTGAAAACAAGAATTGTAAAAGACCAGCATCACAGCAGGAAGGTCTTTCTGTGCTTGAGTAACTTTCCTCCTTGAACAGATTATAAGATGAAGTCCTCTGTTTCTGATTTCCAATACCCCTATTGTGTTATCAATGTTATTTTTGTAGGTCATCATCACAAAGGAACCATCCCATCCCTTTAGCTCTAACACTTTACTTTGTCATCATTCTATATTCATTTGCACAACAATATTCCAGGTCAGCAGCATCATAGCTCTGTCATCAGTTTAATTACCACAATGTTTTCATTTTATGTCCACAGACCGATGATGTAGATGAACACCTAGGGGCCACAGGTGGGGAAACCACCCATGAACACCCCCAGACTCCCTCTCCTACAGACGAACAGTATGACATCATCTCCCCTACCAAGGAAGGCATCCCCCCTCCACATGAAGTGGACCAATATTCACCTGGGTTTTCCGGCAGGTATGTTGTTTTTTCCTTTGTTGCCATTACACGAAAACAATGTAATGATTTTTTAATGAACAAAAGACAATGTCCAGTTAACTGCTACCTTCATGCTGATACTAAATTTTGGAAGATGATCATGTAATTATATTTCCTGCAAGGATTGTCTCAGAGATTTTCTATGTGTTGACCAAATCATATGGGAAACTTCACATAATAACAGAGCATTTAATTAGGCACACAGTAATACGTAATAAAAATAATGTCAAGTTCAGATTTTACATGTAGTAAATTGCGCAGTAATGAAATAATTCAAAACTATCAACAATCATGTTGACTTATTTGTTAAAGGTTTTAAAAACAGTCAGCAGTCTACCCCATTGGTCCCCTTATATAGGTTTAAAATCTATTGAAGGATGTACAAATAATTTACCACCCACACAAGATACTGACATGAGAACAGTGCGTGGGACAGTGAAGGAACAAGATTGCTCCCCTGGCAATTTTATGCTTTCCATCTGGAAGCTTGAAGTTGGAGGACGGTTCTTTGAAGATTGATCGAAGGATGTTTGGTTTTAGGACATGTTCAGAATTGATTGAGGTATCACAGGTATAACATTAAGGTCATTATCGGTCTGGGTTGGACATACATGTACCTATTTGCAGTTTAAAAGAAGCTGAATATGCACAAATGCCGCTGAATACTTGTATATCACCATAGCAGTAATGCTGAGGGGTGGGTTTACAACTTGTCCTGGCCCCACTGCAAAAGAAAATGTTGTCCAATGCATTGCTTTCATTGTAAAAATACATTGTCTCTGGAGATCAACAAATTCACAAGGCAGAGTGTGCTGACTTAGGAAATCAATAATAAGAGCAGTGGGGTTGGTAATCCTTTGGATACACTCTGGTTGAGAATTGATTTGTAATATATGGAATTTCTGTAAAACTACTAAACGTATGAAATAAAATATAACATTATATCTGATTTCAATATATAGGAAGCATATATTTAGATTATCAATGTATTTAAGAATGATACTACCATATGGCCTAGGGAAAAGCAATGTGGAGATTTGCATGACTGTGTGTGTACCTGTCCACGGTGCTGAAACACCGGTGGTGCTTTCTGCAAGTTTGTCAAGCACCTTTATGAATTGTATGGAAATTATGCACATTGAAGACACTTTTGCGGCAAAGACAGCTTGCAGCTATACATATCTAATTGCTCAACAGTACACAAGGTATGTTAGTTAAGTTTTAGGTAGTTTTCGTTATTGAAAAAAATATAATTTTTTTCCTTTCTTAAAGGGCTGTGAATGGAGATGTCTCAGATGAGGATGAAAAAGATGATGATACTGAAAAAGAGAAGCTTTGTGACGGTAAGTGTAGCTATAAAGATTACTATATTTTGCAACACTTTTCTCACATCTAAATGGCAACATGCATATGTCTAGAAGAATGCGCTGATCAAACCTGTCAATTTCATGAAGAATTCATGACTTTTTGAAGCTGGCTGTTGTGCCTAATTGAACAAAATAAGGTACATACATTTTGTAGTACATAGTACATAGTTCTTAAAATATGCTTTTGTGCAAAATCCTGCTGTTCTTAGACACTCTAGGGACAATGGAAATTCTGTTATTTTATTTCTGTTATGTTAACTCTGAGGTGTGACTACTGCTCCACTAGAAGGGTCCTGGGTTTTAGTTTTGAATTATGATTTAATGCTCGAAATCAATCCTTTTCAGTAAATTGTCATTGCTGTAATGCTAATGTTGCAGAGCCAGCAGCCTCTGCAGCCCCTGTGGCAGATGGACCGACAGAGGTGCACACCCCCTCCCCCACGGAGGAGCAGTCATCACCACCTCGCACACCAAGAACACCTGATGAGAGGGAGCGTTTCCCAAGGTACACAATTCCCCACAGGGCTCGAAATGGTTATGAGTAGGTACCTTTGCTCTATCTTCAAATCAATTCCAGGAGAAAAAAGAAATCTTGTGATCTAGACTTCCATATTTCATGTCCAACTTGGACATTTGTCAAGGAACCTCAGCTTCAATGACGAGCCAGAGCTGGCATAATTGATTATATGTGGAATATTCTGCAAAGTGAAAAATTGCAATCTTCAGGCAATGGATGCAAAAGTACTGTGCATTTGTTTCTGGCCAGCATGAAGATGCTTCATGACAGAATTATCTGTCATGAAGAATTATCTATCATTGTCTGGTGCAGCACTAAGATAGGTTGCACTTGACAATTAATCATTCAGCTTGCCACTTCAAGCTTGTTCATTGGTGCATCTTCACATATTCAGTATTCTCATGAATTGGTGCTACCTTGGCTTGATAAAGGCTTGAATTGATCTTTCCACATGAAGGATTGGCGCAAGGGATTTTTCCTTGACAATACTTTGTTACTTTCAGTAAATAAGAATGATAAAATAGAATCTTAAATGCATGTATTTGTCTTATTTCAGATACATAAACCCAAGCCCCAGTCTGTTGGCCTATGACTCTAATGGCAACAGCAGTCCTGATCAGCACCAGACACCATCCCCTCCAGAGGTTGGGCAAGGCCTTTGTTCACAGGTACAATAGCCAGTTCTCTCTATATGTGTGAGTTCTCTGTAAAGTATGTATTGTGTGTTTTATATGTTCACAACATGATTACACAGGTAGTTTGATGAGTTTAAAAAAATGGCCAAAAAAGGAGAACCATAATATTGCCATGTGATAACTTATGCCATTCATTTTGAATGATATATACATCTCTAAAACAAAGTAGATGAGCAGTTAAAAGCTTTTAACTGCTCATCTACTTTGTTTTAGTATGCATTCCAGTTTTGTTGATTTATCTCTCCATTAGTTTTCGTCAAATCCTCATAGCAATGGCAACTAAAGCTAGGTGGCAAATTCTGATGCTGTATCTGTTTTCAGGAATTGCTGGAACCGGCTCCTGTGCTTACGAGCAGCACGTCCTGCCCAGACGAGTTTGACATGGAGGAGGAGCACCAAGAGGCTCCGCTGGACTTTGAGAGGATTCAGACTGCCCCGGGCGGCCTCATCCAGGGGGACGTTCACGTCTACGGAGGTCCTCAGGACGCTGCAATCGACTTTGACCATTCCCCTGAGGATCCGCTTGATCCGCCCCCAATCATTCCTCGTCGAGATCTGGATCCGGACCCTCCAGCCCCTGATCCTGACCCCATGATGATGGCACCAGATGATCCACAAACCCAGGCTGAGAACATGAATGCTCCACTTATGAATGGAATCAATGGCATTGATGGTATTCCTGATCCCAAGGTAGATCCCAACGCCAATCCAGACCCTGACGCTGAAGGCAACGTGGCTCCACCTCCTCCTCCCACTGATTTACCAACAACGGAAAAACCAAAGAAGACTAAGACAAGCACCACAAAGACCAAGAAACCTGGCTCTAAGACGAAGACATCATCAGCAAGGCAGAACCTTGAAAGAAGGATGCAGGATTCCCTCAAGACAGAGAAGGTGGGGACAAGGAGACCAGCCTCTGGCAAGACCTTGACAACGTCTTCAAAGAGAGGACCACCCTCTCCTGTCAAAGACAAGGAAATAACCAAGAAGACTGCAAAGACAGAAGACAACATCAAGTTAGAAAAGAAGGCACTTCACAAGAGCAGGGCTCCCACAAAGAAATCTAAATCTGACCTGTCAAAACCCAAGGATAGTGCAAGAAAGGATGATAAGCCAGGCGGGCTAGCCAGCCTAAAGAAGAGGTCGGATTCCAGTGAGCGCAGGAGGCATCGGTCAGGGTCACAGGAGCGTGCACAGAAAAGGGCTGCAGAGGCTGCTAGAAGGGCAGCTCAGAGACGGCTTGGGGTGGTGAAGAAGGAGCAGCTGGAGAAGGAAAAGGAGAAAGAGAAGACGTTCCCACTGAAAGCCAAGGAGAGGAGGCTGTCAGAGAAGTCCTCGTCCTCTGACAGGGTTGATGCGAAACCAAATGATCAGAAACCAGAGGAAGGTGTTGAGAAGACATCGAGCAAGGAAGCAATTGAGAAGGCACCTGAGGAGGCAAAACCAACAGGATCCAACCCTGAAGTGAAAGCTGAGAAGAAAGCAAAGAAGTCTGAGAAGAAGCCCAGTGAGGCAAAGAAGGAAAAGAGCACAGCAAAGAAAGCCAGTGAAGAGTTGAAGAAGGACAAGAAAGGTGAAAAGTCTGAGAGAAAAGCGCATGAGAAACGGCCAGCAGAAGTTGTATCTAAGAAGTCACCTACACCACCTAAACCCAAGGCACAGCATAAAGGAGAGGAAGCAAAGAAACCTGCAAGGGTGTCAACAGTGAAGACAGAGAAGGTACTTGCTGTGAAGGCTGCCACACATTCTGCTCCCCCCACCCCAAAACCAACCCCACCACCCCCTCCAACAGGTCCCCCCGTGTACCTGGACCTGGCGTATGTACCAGCACATGCCAACAACAGTTATTCAGATGCAGAATTCTTCAGGCGCATCAGATGCAGGTGAGAACAAAGTTTCATCATTGTTCTTTGTATTCTCTCCCTGTTAACATTCTAATTCCTAGCTGTCATTTTAGCAGTCATTTTTAATACCATTAGTGAGAAAGTATTGGTGAGCAGAACAGATCCCTCTTTGCCACTTTTGGCATGTTTTGAAAGTTCTATAAATTGACAGGTCACTTTTTTCTCTGTGAAACAATAGGTACTACGTGATCAGTGGAAACAGCAAGTCCACCGACGAGCCCAGCATAAGTGTGCTCAATGCCTTACTGGAAGGCAAGCAGATGTGGAGCAACGGAGACTTCGACGTCACGCTCATTCCGACCTACGACACTGACGCCATGCGAGAGTGGTACCAGAAGAACTACTCGACTCTGGAGCAGGCGCAAATCAACGTCATCGCCAGCGGGAGCAAAGTCGTCATGCAGGACGAGAGCTTCGAGGCCTGCAAGATCGAGTTCTAAATTCTCCCCACTGCTACAGATGTCCTGTTCTTGGAAGGGAATGTTTATCTGTTAAAGGGGATATATTCAGAATTGAGGTGTGTTTTTACACCTTGTGAAAGATGTAGAAAATTGGAAGAAATGCCATCATTGTAAAGGTTAGATTTAAATTCTTTTCAAAATGGGTCTTTTATTTAAAGAAAGTTTTGATGGACCCTTGTTGCTTAATTCATCTAATGTGCAATCCAGCTGTCTGAGCTTTTCTGCACTTCAATATAGCAATGTGATGAGTCATTTGCACCTGTAAAGTACAGTACACCTGTCGGCTAACTCCGTGTCAGCATCCTTGCTGTTGTCTAAATAACAACCCAGAAAATAGCCTTAAATATCACCACTTAAGATGCAGAGTATCCACAAGGCACAAGAACTGCTGTACTTAGAATGGAAATTATTCACACAGAAAAATTTAAAGTAAAAAAATGTAGATGCTAGACTCTGCTGAAGTGACTGCCAGCTTCTCCTGCCCTTTTACAATCCCTAAATTCTTAACCACATTTGACTACCATGAAAGTCATTCAGCTTCGAAAAAAAAATATGAAAATTGCTTATTCGTGACCATGTATCGACCTTTGAATTCAGGAGGTTCAGAAATTAACAGGAAAGAGAGGTTGCCAGTCAGTTCATGTAGCTGAACTTATCTATAGTCAATGAACTATGAGAAGAATGAAGTGCTTTTGCTATGCCATGAGAAAAATGATTCCATAAATACTAAGGTACAGGAAAAACTGCTGTATGAATAATGTCTGAACATGTTATGAATGAAGTTATGAAGGTAAAATATGGTTATAGAATTATACTGTGAACTTTATATTATACCGTATGTGTTACCATTTTTGTACATTTAAATTTTATAAATTCTGCATGGTTGGACATAAATGTACCATGCAATTTTTTTCTCATAAATCTTTCAGTGCAATACCAGGACACTGTATGCCATTATTTGCCAGTGCAGACAATACTTGTACATGCTGCTTCAACTCCTGGTCACCAATCAATGCTTTGATGTAGAGGCTTTGCAAGATGATAAAGTTCTCAAAAGCAGACAATGATGGGTAATCAGAAAATTGCTCTTCACCTTTGTATTATCATTATACAAAAATATCTTAAAATGTGTTTTCATCACAATGATACAATATTTGGATACACTTTTGACAAAGTAAACAGGGTTTCTAATCATAATGTCTCCCATATGATTATGAAGTAAGATGGCCACGTCACAATTGTAGATTTAGGTAAACCCCAAGTCAACTGGTAGGAGATAGTGGGGGAGTCATAGCGCCATGTATAGAGAAAGTGAACTTGAAAGAAGATGTTGAGGTTACTGATGAACACTATTGCATGCAGGAAAGAACTATATCATATTATCTATTTTGCTATACCCCCTAAATGCTGCCTGTAGTGAGATAGATAACTGATAGATGACAGATATGGTATATCATTATCTAAGCTTCCAACTTGAGCCAGGGGAATGGCAGATATTATAGAGTGGCAATATGAGAAAATATTCATTTGGGAATGTCCATAAATTTGATATGCCTCCTTTTGTGTGGATGTAATTAGTTCATGTCATCTATATCAATATTCTGTGAACAAGCTGCAGGGTTGTTTTTGCTATTGGAGAGAAATCAATGGGTTATGGTGCCCTGGATTGACCCCATCCAAGATGATGCCTGGAGCATCCTGTGAGTTTTCAAGAGGCCCATCTGGTCAGGTCAGGTATCTGATAGCTGTTCAAAGGCAATGGAAAATTTAGATGTTCATCTGAGTCGGTACGTTACATAATGAGAACTGAACTGTTCCCCAACTGAAGGAATTTGACACATCAGAATGTTTGACTGGATGCCTCAGTCTTCATCAGCTATCTGACGTGTCTACAGCACTTGGGTCAGATAACTGATGACAACCAAAGATTGGTCAAAAATTCCGGTTAGTCTAATTCCTTCAGTTGGAAAACAGTTTGCCTGTCACTACATGCACTACATTGATATCAAAGATGGTCTTGTTCCTAAAGGTGTTCAACATCCAGAAGCACATGTCAATAATAGAGGAGAAATGACAGAAATAAGGTGGAAAGGATGACTACAAAATATACTGGAATTTGTGCAAAGCCAACAAATTGTTTCAACAAAGGCATTTCATGTTTTATCATTATACATGATATATGCCTTGACAGGCTTTCCATGCTCAGAACAATACAGAACTAGAGTTTTCACCTATTTGGCCCCCTTTGCAATTAAGACCCGCATTGATTAGATGTCCCACAAAGGTGATGAATTGAATTTTTGCTGTAATGAAAATGTGGTCATTTGACATATCAGGAAATTGGAATAGAGAATGGTTACCCATGAGAAGTGAGTCTATAGCTAAAGGGATTATTGCTAGCATCTTCCAAACAATTCTCAGCAAAGGGATGATAATGTTTTGGAATGATGTGAGGGTGCAGCCTCTATAAATTTTCGCAGGTTAAAGAATACCTGCACTGGACTGTGAACTTTAAGATTTCAGGTTTACATTTTTTAATGTGTAATTTGCAATCTTACATCATGATCTTCTCATCATTCCTGAGACACAATCTAGATTTGTTCATGTTTTCTCAACCCAAACTTTGTAGGTCAGTAAAACCAAAGTCTGTGGTGTAAGTGCAAAGCACAGTTAACATGATTTCAAAACCCAATAGCAAGCCAACTCTGCAGCCTGAGGACTTTTATGGCTAATGTCATTTTCTTCTCCCTCTCCTATCAGATAATAGATGTGAATAATGCATATTTATTGATTTCTCCCTTCTGTGTACAGAGAACCTCTTATTGATCGGTCCAACCAAAGTAACAAATGTAAGAAAAGTGTATTAATCCATCGCGGACTGGTCTCTGATGCCTGCTCAATGCAAAGGTCTGTCTAAAATACATGCTGCAATCCAGAAACTGAAGTTAAACATTTAAGGTAGATTAAAGCATCTATCCAGTAGAGTTAGTATGTGTATTACGCATGATGTTCGACACAACCTTGCAGTCTTTGGAAGCAAATGTCGCTACTGTAGGAATACAAAATGTATGCTATCACAAACTAGCATGACACTAACTGTTGTACACAAACCTATGTACCTTGTGGCCACCTTGAAGAGCCGTTTGCTGGACCATGTGGAAAAGAATGTTACAGGAGAGTTCTGTGCAATATAAGTATCCAACAGTGTGCATACCCAACAACACTTACTAAGCAAAAGATTGATCACCCCCTAAGGTGATCTTGGTGTACCTTCCCACAATAAAGGCAAAAAGTTCCATACCTTACCTACATGTAAGGTCCCAGTAAAGTTGTCAAAAAGCTAGCTGGGTTTCCAAACTTCCTTCTGTACTGGTACTTTTATGAATGGATGGTAACATTATCCTTATCCATGATCATGATAACGTGCGAAACTAAGCAAATCACATTTGAAATTGGCGTACAATTTTAGAAAGAAGGTATGGATTACAGTTTGACAACCATTTCTATGTCATAGCCATTTCAAAATTTGTTTGACAAAAAAGGTGCATTCTAAATGTCTATTTGGCAGGAAAGAAATGATCTTAAATCTTGTTTAAAATGTATCTTCCAAAATGAGGTCACAAATTGGGTTAAGCACACATTTCCTCCACCTCTGCCACAGTAATGAATGGGCTGTGAAAACAGCTGAGGTCCGACCAGGAAGTGTTCGTGAAAGATTGGGAATACCACTCTGTACTGCATCAAAGAATCCTCTTTGAATAGTAGTAGTTTGTTGCATTTTTCGGCACCCTCTGCAGTAAGCTGTAGGCTTCAAATGTTTGCATCCCTGAGATATGACCACCTTACTTGGTGAGGTATTTCTGGATGGAAGCTATTTTACAGGGATTACAAGCAACAACATTAGAAGCTGCCCTAATGTAGAGAGAGCGGAAAAGTACCTTGTATACAGGGGTAGCATTTGTGAAAGCATATGGGACAGTGAACAAGTTCTTTGAGGTGCACAAGAAGAAGCCCAACCAGTGTAACCAGTCTGGTATACTATGGGAATAAAGATCAAGCTTCAGCTTGTTCAAATGTTGTGGTGTTGTCTTGCATTGTCTTCTCATTCCTAGACATACAATTTCCTTCTTAAATGGGTAAGAGAAAAGCTTGGTTATTAGAAAAAACAACAGTTTTGATAGAGTTTTAATAACTGTTTGGTATCATAATCAATCACTAATGCCTTATTTGAAATAATAAGTAATGTGTGATTTCTTCTTCGAGTTCTTCAAGTGAACCAATTATGAAGATGATGAATTAATTTCCCTATAGACTGAATATCTACCTTGACTTACGATGGCCTGTTTTACAAAGTGTTCTGAAATTCTGTTTGAGTTTCAGAAAACATTTTCCATTGTAAGGCCATGTTGATTTGATTATATGGATGACATCCGCGCGCGCATGAATTTTCGGCCGTTTCCAAAAAAAAAAAAAAGTTTTCAACCATACTGTAAATCGTACAAAACAGTTGCAAAATGTGCAAAAATATACCGTAAGTTACAAAAAAAACATACCAATGTCGTAGAATGCCAAAATCAAACGAAAAAACACGAAATTGTAAAGAAATGAATTTGAAGAGTAGATTATTCGCCAAACCATATTCTGTGCCATTTGTTCAACCCTCATGACCACGTACATTTCATAATGAAAACAACTTTTTTTTTTTTGCAAAACTTTTTTTTTATTCGCACGCGCGCATCAATTTTGGGGTTCCCGGAGGATGTCATCCATATAATCAAATCAACATGGCCTAACATGTATTTCCACAGTTTCTTTACTCACTCACTCACTCACTCACTCACTCACTCACTCACTCACTCACTCACTCACTCACTCACTCACTCACTCACTCACTCACTCACTCACTCACTCACTCAAACCCACTGACTCGCCCACCAACCAAACCAATTCACTCACTCACGTAGCTGTAAGCCTTTGTTGCAGACTGTCCACAATGCATTTCCTGCATGAGTAAAACTCATTTTCCTGTCCTTGGTGCTGAATGGTTATCACATGAAGGACAGACCAACTGGCAACATTGCACTGCCATGACAGTGGGTCTACATGTCTTTTTCTGTGCGGTGCAGACGTTATCTCGGCTTCCTGTCGACCTCTAAATCTAACTGATGCGGCCCCTATTTCAAAAGTGGAACAATCGCCACTCCCTATTTCAATAGTGGAACAGGCTACCGTAGTGCACGATGGGACACATCGTGTCCGCAGACGGGTGGGAAAATCAAAATGGCTGCCGACAGGTCCAGACGTTACCAAAAGATTGACTTTCTTGGCGAAGGACAGGTAAATTTGGGACAGATCCACTGTTTTACCATGCGTAGACGAGTGTACTTTAAAATGGAGAGGATGATATATTTCTATTGTGCATAATGCCACTTCATAACCTTGTTGTTTCTGCTGTTCTTTTGTGGGGAGGGGGGCGTACAACACTGCCATAATCATTTTCTATTTTCATTTTACGAATTTATGTCATAATTTGTTTCAGGATTATTGAATGGCGTATCTAGTAGTGTGGTCAGCAGTTGCATTCAGTTAAGAATTATTTCATGTTCTCTCTAGTTTGCCACTGTGTACAAAGCAAAGGACACCAAAACAGGACAGATTGTTGCTGTGAAAAAGGTGAGATGTGGTCACTTTATCTGTGTCTCCCACCAGGCCACCGTGCCATAACCTTTTTTTCTCCTTCTAGACGTACATATATATTATGAAATGCAGTGACACTGATTATGAATATGAGGGCACCACTGCACAGTAAAGAACCCATCACACTTAAAATTATGAAAGGAGTAGTGGTTCCTCCTGGTATGAGTCTGATCTTATGAAGTTGTGTAGCATGTTCCAAAAAAATGTTGTGTTTCCTGTTTCAGTCCTGACAAAAATAGGTTCGGTAGGTAGGGACTAGGGATTATCTTTTTTTTCTCTTGTTTTTTATTAGACTCTACAGACGTATAAATAAATTTTAACAAAGTAAAACTTGCATTGGGACACCTCTATTTTCAATGTCAATGTTGGAAAACTGATTTCATCACTCAGATGTCAGACCATGGAGCTAGAAATGGTGGGTCAGCTTGAAAAATTTCAGTGGTCCACACAAAAAACGGCTAGGGTCGGCTGGCAGTTTTTTCTAGGGTTGGTCAGGAAACAGGAAATACAACATTTTTTCTTAGGCCTAACAGATATGCATGCAAAACAAACTAAAAGTCAAATAGGCAGAGACATTGTTGAAACACTGATCAGCAAATTTGTGTTGTCATTGTTAGTCATTGACAAATTATACCTGTGAAACCTCTATAATTTTATCATGTTTTTGCTGCTTACAGATTAAATTAGGGCAAAGAGCCGAGGCTAAAGATGGTAAGTTATAGCTCAAAATAGTGAATTGTTACCTCCATGAAATGGAAGGTATTGTTTTTGGCGCGTCTGTGTGTGTGTGTGTTTGAGTTTCCGCTTTTTTGTACCTTCATAACTCCATAACGCATTTATGGATTGTGGTGATATTTGGTATACTGGTAGGTGTTAGGGGGGCGAAGGTCAAGGTCAAATATGGGCCTCCTGGTGGATGGCCTTGGTACTGCAGCAGCACTTCCGGTTTAATGAGGAGTCTGCCAGACAGGGTAACAGATGTCTGATTGTGTCGAGGCTGCCCCGGGCTTGCGACCTGGTTTGATTAATGAGAGGTTCTTCCTCAGGGAATAAGGCGACCTCTGTGCGCTATGATGTGGAAAATTTGAGTGTTAGGGTGGATGGACACCCAGTGTTGATGTAATTTTGGCACTGAGATCTAGTTACCTCCATGAAAATGGAGGTATTGTTTTTGGCGCGTCTATGTGTGTGTGTGTTTGAGTTTCCGCATATTTGTAGTCAGCATAACTCCATAACGCCTTTATGGATTGTGATGATATTTGGTATGCTGGTAGGCCTTAGGAAGCCAAAGGTCAAGGTCAAATATGGGCCTCCTGGTGGATGACCTTGGTACTGCAGCAGAACTTCCGGTTTTTGTATCTTTTGTCCTGAACATGTTATGGTCTTGATTTTGGGTGACAGATAGATTGTCCTGCCAGGAATAATTGGTGTGGGTTTGGTCCCCCTAGCAGCTTGTTCTGAAACTGCAAGGGACTTTCGGGGGAAAATCTTTAAAAGCCAATAGGTCCAGACAGGAACAATGTATTTTCATCATTTTTGGTAGGTAGGTAGCTGAGAGAGATGTACATAACTTAATGCAAATTATGCAAATGAGGACTTTATTTGCATAATAAATGAGGAAATTCTCTAATTACAGTGTTTTACATTGTAGTACTTTAATACGTGTAATGTATGTAATCTTTGGCAGATGGAACATCAACAGATACCAATAATGCAAATTATGACCTCATTTGCATAAATAATGCGAAAATTCAATGGGTAAATGATGGGAATTTCCTACTTGGTGTAAATTGTAAATTCATCAAAAGTTAACATCACGATACATTAATTATGTTAATGTGGAGGTCATTTGCATAATTAAAGAGGAAATTTACATTTACACGTCAAGCCCATATTTCATGGAGGTATGTGATCTCAGATCTCTTGTTGAATGAGTGTTGAAAGTCTTTACTGTCGTAATTCATCACTTGATAACTGAACGTACTTTCTTTCCCTGTCTCTCC